GGCCTTTGAAAAAGGAAATGGAGAAAAAAAAAAGGAAATTTGCATAGACTCCCTTTTGGTGGAAACTGAAAACTTGAAAACTGAATTGCATGCAGTAGAAAAACAGGAAAAATATCTGCAAGGAAAAAAAATAGAACTGCTGATGAGCCAATCACCCTCTCCAAAATGGAATATGTGTTGTGAGTCTCTCTGATCGGAGGGGATTGGATTTTATCAAGTGAGGAAGAAGCAGGAAGCTATTGGGGTCCTGGCATGTTTTTAACCACCACTTCCAGAGATCATGATATTCTTTAACTGCACAGGTGATATATTGGGCAGGAGGAATAGATCTGCAGGATAGGGGAGATCCACTGGCTATTAAAACTGCTCGCTTCTCTGATCTCGCAGCTTCCATGCAGAAAACAGTTTGTATACAGACTATGTATGAGAGGGACAGGCTTAGAAAGTCTCCTATGTTAGCCCCTATCAATTCAGCCAGATTAATCCATCTTTTTCTGGGTTTTCCAAACAGTCTCAAGACTTTTGTAGCAAACTTTCAGGGTGAAATGCAGCAGATTTATGTCCAAAATGCCACAGTTCCTGGGCATCCGGGGGGCTGGGTGCAGATGATGCGTTTAGCTACCTAGAGTGGATTCGTGCAGGAAATAGTGAATTATGGATGCTGGACAGGATGGGTCAGGGCCTCCACATCAGATAACCATTGTTAAAACTCCTGAGCCTGCTTGGTGGGTATTAGCAGTACAGTGGCTTCAAGGCAAATACCCAGAACCTTCTATTGATATTCTTGTCAGACCGCAAAAAATTATGGTTGAATTTCTAATTGACACAGGGACCCAAATATCAGTGATTACAAAGGAAGCAGGAAATGTTTTGGAAATTATACCCAGTGACTGTAAAAGTTTTATCAGAATTGATGGTATAATAAAGGAATGTCCAACAGCAAAAATTTCCATCTGGCTCCGGGGGGAAAAACAATTTACTAAGGTTGAAGTGCTTGTGGGGGCTGCCCAACTAAAACTTTTAGGATTTGATTTACTTTATGGGCAAACCTGGAAACTCCCAGATGGAACTCTGTGGAGCTTTGCAGTGGAAGGCACTGGGTTGCTGGGAATACAAATAGAATCTGAAATAATGTGGGATGATTCAGGCTTGGAAATTTTTATCAATTCATTAGGGACATCGATACCATTGCTGCCTTCTAAATTTACTAATGTAAAACAGTACTCCCTGCCAACAGCAGCACTTATGGGGATTGATGAGTTAGTGACAGATTTGGGAAAAAAAAAGAGGCATCATTAAAAGGACTCATTTGCTTTATAATTCACTGGTGTGGCCAGTAAAGAAACTGACCTGGCACTGGCATTTCATGGTATATTGACAGTTAACTGCTAATACTGCACCTCTAACTGCTGCAGTTCCAAACATTGTCTAGATAGTGACACTGCTACTGTGTGCTGCTCATGCTTAGATGGCTGCCCTCGATGTTAAGGACATATTTTTCATGATTCCCCTCCTTGAACAGGATAAAGCACAGTTTGCCTTTACATGGAGGGGAATCCAATACACTTTCACAAGGATATAAATATTCTCTCGCTATTTCTCACAATGCCTTGGCTAAGGTCTTAGTAGAGATTCCTATTCCACCTGACATTACATGATATCAATATATTGATGACAGCCTAATAGGGGGAGATGATCAAGAAAGTGTAAAAGACACAATGAAAAACATTAATGAAACACTAATTGAATTGGGATTGGAAGTTCTGGAATCAAAATGCCAAGGGTCAGCACAAGAAGTTAAATTCTTAGGAGTCTGGTGGATTAAAGGAGGCACTTCTGTTCCTATGGACACCCTGAAAAAAATGGAGCACAGGCAGAATTCATCTTTTGTATAGAAGTTCTGGGAACTTTAGGCTACTGGCATAAACATATTCCTAGATGTTCTATTATTGCCCATCCCTTATACAATCTGCTCAGTAAAGGAAAATCGTGGGAATGGACGGAATAGCACACAAATGTAGTAGAATTGTTAATAAGAGGGGCTGAGGCTGTTCCAACAGCTTGGCCTTATACACCTGGCTGATTCAATCAATGTAGAATGGGGGTTCAGTGAGCATGGCTCTCATTGTAACCTTTGGCAAAAGGGACCACAAAGGCCAGAAAGACCACTGGAGTTTAGCTTCCATTCTTTCAATGATACTGAACTGAGATACTCAGATCTTGTTAAGGCTTGCAAGCCTTCTAGTGTGAATGATAATGGGTGGATTATACCTTCAATTTGACCTAACCTTGCCAGTTAACAAGAAGATAGAGTATCTGTCCACTTTTTTTCTTAACAGAATGAATGGCATGTGGAATGAAGCAGTCATATACAGAGCTAGTGCCTGCAAGGACTAATGGTGGTTTTGGTAATAATTTAGAAAATGAAATTAGAATAATAATGCAGGTAAAATGCTCTTTATTATTCTTACTGTCACTAGACAGAAGTTCAGGGATTGCTTGAAATCTTACATTGCAGTTAATCCAAGTTTTTGGACATACATGTAACGTTAGTCAAATCACCACATTTACCTTTTCCTCCATCTGCCAACTCACCAGTAACATGGGGAATTTCACTATGGGTTTGACTAAAACTTGGGAGGTTATGTGGAAAAAATCACACAAATCTGATTTGGCAAACTGAGGAAGGAAAATATGTTTTACAGTGGACCAACAATAATACAACTATATGGAACTGTAACGTCATCATTGAAATTTGAGACTAATAGTGACTCAATTGAGAAAATTTATTGTCTTCCTGAGGATACATGTGCTGATACACCACGGGGAATGCATATTCCAAGGGTGTGGGGAGAGCCACAATGCAGTGACTGCCATTATATGCAACTACCAACTGGTGCATTGATTGGGAAAGAACAATTGGATTACCAGATGACTCCGTACAGGTTGATGTTCTGGACACAAATTTAAATGTTTCTTGATCAAACAGCCCAAAAATATCATAATTGGAATTGTACTGGAGTTTATAATTGCAATTCCAATGAAACTGAAATTCAGAGATTGGGCCCATTAGTTTGAGCTCTCAGATTAGGTTGTACTTGTCAAAACTATATCACCCCACTCAATGACACTTGATCTCATTTGACTGACAATGATACTGAGTCTGACATAATTTGTTCAGAACTAAGTATAACCTCTATGGGGCACACCATGTGGGTTAGCAGTGATAGAACACAGTCTACTGACTTACTAATAGAGGGCTGGCAATGGCAACACATGCTGGGACTATTAACACTTTGCCCCCTTTGGACAAAGCAACCTCTTTCACTGGCTCTGTGGGGACAAATTAAAAGAGAATCAGAAAACCAATGGCAATACTGGATAGCTGGAACTGTGATGGGATGGGTACTGGAGTCAATTTTCCCACCCCAGGTGACAGCATTCCAGAATTGAATGATGTTATATAATTGTACTTGACAAATATAAACATTGGCTAATGCAACTCATGGGGGACTAAAGGGATTAAACTGACAAGGAACTGTAGTGGTTCTAATCAGAAACTAAGCCCAGCTGCATCCAGTCCCTCTGAGGACCAGCTGGAACAAAAAGGGCTTTATTTTCTGCTAAATTTCTATACCCTTAATGCAACATTTAGCTTGATTTTGGACCTTTAAAATGTGCCAAGAGCATTATGGATTTGGCTTTGTTCTCTGCAGTGTTTACATATTGTCCCAAGGGGCATCTTTAGTAAGTTTTGAGTTCTTTGGGGATTTTTTGGTTGGATTTTGTTTCTTTGGTTTGGGTTTTTTGTTTGGTTTTGTTGATTTGCTTTTATATGTATATATATTTATTTTTTCATGCCACATAAGTCAGGAAAAGCAATCTTGACCAGAACACGTCTCAAGGCAGATTCTTGTAAGTCTAGACTTGAAGTGTCTTTCCAGATTGAATGACAGCACAGGTAACTACTCCAAGATCCATGAATCACAAGGTAATTTCATTTAGGCTGCATCTTTTCAATTTACTTTGAGAAAGCCTCCAAGACAGCATCCAAAACTTTACTACAGCTAAGATATACACATTAATTCCTTCACTCATACACTCAGTGAATTATCTTTTAGGGAAACAGATTTACTACTGTATTGAAAATAATAACTTTTATCTTCTATATGCTTACATACCAACTGGTTAGTGGTTTGTTCCAGTACCTTAAATCTAAGAAAACAATGTTAGTGGTTACTTAATATTATCCTTTCCACTCACCTACCCACCTTTAAAATCTTGGTGACATTTACCTTCAAGTTGTTTTTAACGTCCCTTTCCTACCACGAATTCCTATAGATTTTAAGAACTTCTGAAGCAGCAGTTCAAAACTCTCTCAGTGAGTTTCTTGAACACTTTAAAGCAAGTGTCTTCAGACTTTAACAGTTTAAATAATTCCTTCCCCATTCCAGCATGTGTTCTTCTCTCCATAGTACATGTTATATCTGGTCACAACTGACCTTTCCTGTAAAGCAGTGTTAGTTGTATAGCCCTCTGTTACTTGATCTCCTTTCCTACTCAGTAAGGGACTTCTGCTCTCCTTTGTTGCTAACTTCTCATACTCTTTATGAATATTTTCTTTTTGCCTTCTATTTCTATCTAGTTGTTAATCGATTTCTTCCTTAAGCTTTCCAGTTTATCTCTAGTGGCTTCTATACTTACCCTCAGTTGTGTAGCTACATTTCCACTTTTTGTTTTATTCTTTTTATAGTTCCTCAGGTACTTACAACCTTTTACAATCATACTTGTTTCATAGTATGCTTTCTCTCCTCCAACTGTAATTGTCTCATATAGTAGATCAGAAATTCAATTTCATCCAACCTTAACTGAACAAGCAAACCTGAAGAAAATTCTAACTTGCTTTACCTAGTACCACAGTAAGTTTACACCCCAAATATGTAATTGTTTCTTCATTATACACATGAACACCTAAATGATTTTGAAGTCTATGCATTTACCCAGTTCATCCCAGAGTTGCCTATACTTGTCAGTCATTGCAGTTCCTTGTTGTGTCCAAAGCGACAGACGAGGGTCAGCCATGAACTGTTCTGTTATCAACGTCAACATGCGAGCTCCATTTGAATCTCTCATCTTCAGCATCTCTCGCACCTAGGAAATGAGTATTTTAATATAAACTTGAAAAAACCCCAAAACAAACCACAGTACAGATGATATGCTGAAGTGTTAAACATTCCACCTCTGTTAAATAAGACATATAATTTATATATTTGATACAAAATTTTTAAGTAGAAAAAAATAATCTGCCTTCCCAATTTTAACAATTTTTAGTTTCAGTATCCCATTGCAATTCTGCAAATACACTTCTTCCACAAGTAATTCACAGGTGTATTATGCAAGCTACTTGCTCAGGTTTAAGTTACTGCTAATGAGCACTGCTATTGATGAACATGAGGAAAACCATCACTTCAGTGCCTTTGAGCTGTGATGGCTCTGCAAAGCTAAACAAAGCTGTAGACAGTTGAAATGCTACTTCATATCCTTAAACTAATATCAAGACACACCAGATTGCATCCCATTGCATTATTAACTTGCTATCATGTTCCCAGGGCTTTGTCTTGTTTTAGAACAACAGGACTTTGAGTAAGACCTGAACAAGTACAGACTGGATGGGGGAGTGGGGGGAAAGGAAAGACGGAAGTCTGAGTACTCAACATACCTTTGCAAAAAGCAAATTGAGTTGCTTCCCTGATCCATGGTATCCACCCTGGGAGAGGAAGAGTTTAACCTGTTCTTGGACCTGTTCCTCATCCAAATGCCAGCAGTTTTCATCATCTATGCTAGCACCTGCTGTTGGGTCAGGAGCACCTGCACACAGCAAGAAGATAAATCATTATGTGCTATATAAAGAGGTTTGTGGGTCCAGGGCAAATGAGTATTGCAAAGGGGTTTGGATTTATGTATTGTCCCATTTTGAATGTCTTGACTTAAAAGGTTCTTTAAAATAGACCTAAATTTCTCCTAAGTAATCTTAAGCACTTAGAAATGACATTCTATGAAAAGGTATTTAAACAAACAATATTTTATAATAAAACATTAAAATCAAGATGAGTTTCTTCCTCCTGCCTCAACAGTTATTCTAGAATGCTTTTACAAACAAAATTACACTTAACATAATAATTTCAACAACTGCAATGTTAAAACCACTCTCCCCAGAACACCTGTGTGACTTCTGTACCTTCAGCAATCTTGCTCAGGTTTAAGTTACTGCTAATGAGCACTGCTATTGATGAACATGAGGAAAACCATCACTTCAGTGCCTTTGAGCTGTGATGGCTCTGTAAAGCTAAACAAAGAATAAAGAATAAAGAATAATTCCCAAGCAAAGCCAAGGTCTTTAAGCACTAAAGGCATTAACATAAATAAGTTACAGCTGTGTAAGATTGTGGTGCTTCTGAAGGAGCATGTTTACAATAGGCAATGTCATCAGCACGCAGTCAATTCAAAGCAACTCTACCTGAATTAGCTTAGTGCCAAGTGAAGTGACTGGATTTACATCAGGCAGTGCTTTGGCCACAGGTTGCTCTAACTAAAATTTTGTAGCTGAGATCAGTGATTTTCCCCTTATGGCCTTTTTAAAAATCGGACAAAAATAAAACAAGTTCTTGCAGTATCTAACAATCTACATATTTCTGAAGAAACCTGCACTTTCACTGGATATTTTTAAGAGGTATTCTAACTGAAAGGTTGAAAAGCACTTATCTAGACTGTCAGGGGAAAAAATGGTAGTGCATCACCATACTCAGATGTAAGGCATTTTAATCATGCCCAAGACTGAAGTTAACTGTCACAGCCACAGCCGGTCTGAGGCTGTACAAATTTGGCCATAATAAGAAACCAAATTTGGCTAGCCTAGTTCATTATAGCCTAGAAGTAAACAAGTCCCCGGGTGAGGCAATGATAGGTTGGATTCAAACTCAAACAGGGGACCCCAGCCAATCCCATTCAATCCTGAATGCAGATGTATCATTGGTCAGAGAGCTGGGTGGTGTTGAAAACTCAACCAATCAGTTGTTCAAGCCCAGGAATTTTGAAACCCCTATAAAAGAGGGCATCCATCAATAAATCTTGGCTGTTGTTGCATGATCTTGGTGTGTTCAGTCGTGTGCCTATCTCCAAACTGCGACCCTAATGTAACAAGTAGTGATCCCAACGTGATTGACACAGCTGTCCATGTGTAGAGTGGAGGAGACAGAGGGTGGGTGAGTAGAACCCATCTGCAGCTAAAAAGCTGCCAAATAGTGCGAGTAGAGCCCACCTGTTGCAAAGAAGCTGCCAACAATACAGTGAGAAGAGCTGTTTGTGGTATGGAGAGCGGCCAAAAAGTCGGGACTACCTTTGTATATACCCCTTTAAATAGAAGAAAAACACTGCCAAAAATATGGGAGGATGGATCTCAGTGGAACACCCAGTTATGAAGGTATGGACTCTTTTTGCTTCAACGGGGAGTAAAGCATGAGCAACAGGCTCTGGAAGCCGCTATGGACATTATGAAACCCTGGAGGCTTGTGGAACAGGCTTTAGAAGCCACTATGGATGCTATAGATGGTATAAAGCTGTGGAGGCTTTTTTTCGGACTTGCTGGGGCAGTTGGAAGCTGAGCAGGACGCAGGGGTGGCAGTGGAGATGCCGTGGGCACAGCCCTCTGAAACATCCCAAAATGGTGGAGCACGGGAGGCAGCCCACGGGGAAGGGGATGCCACGCCGGACACGTGGAGGCAGTGGCTGGAATCGGCTCCGCCATGGTCCCCAGGACTCCCTCCAGTGCACCCACTAGAACCCAGAAACATTGCAGCGCCAGAAGCCGGGAGAGAAGCTGGCAGCCCCACTGCTGGAGTCCTCCTGGCACTGTGCATGCCCATGCCATGCATAGACCCACCAGGATCCGGGGCCACAGAACACTGCATATTGCTGAATCACATTAGGGACTCGAGAAGCCTGGGAAACACCAAGGCAGCCAGCGCTGCAGTCAGCACCCAAGAGATTGGGAGACTGGGCCACACACAGATGACTGTAAGTTTGCCAGAGCTGTGGGAGGAGAGCCAGAAGATGGCCCCTGGTCCCCCGATCTATTTAACCCTAGAGGGGACCCTGACAGTATCACAAATGAACTTGTGCCGCTCTGCACAATGCGGCATCAGCTAGACCCATGTCGCGGTGAGTGGCTGGGGCGGGGG